TGTTAAATCAACATCCACATTGTGATCTTTTGTTGAACGACCTACAGTGATCTATCGAAAAAATTGATTATTTGAATCCGAAAACAATTAACACTTTGCAGTCCACAAAATGAATAGAACTGTCCAGCTACGTTGTTTTAATACATGTATTGAGAATGTATGATTATATACAAAAACATTGATATATATAACATTCAATAATAATTTCTACCTGAAAAACATTAGACATATATTTCTCTCTTCTTAAAGAGCATAAATGACTTTTTAAAATTTCTATAAAATAAATTATAAACATTCAATACTACTTAAACATATATTTAATATATATTACATTCTGGACAGGAATAATATAATAATTTGTTTCTTTGCGCGACGCTTTTTTGTTTTATATCTTTTTTTGTTTACAGAATACATATTTTTATGATTGAGCATTAAACAATATTTTGTTTATGTTTTCTATTATGAGATCTATATTAATTATAGATGTATGTACCAAATGCCAATGTGTTCATACTAGACGACTCTACATCATCAATGGACCACAAAATATTAAAAGAGTAAAGAATTAGTTCATTTAGAAATCTTTTTCAAATGGTATGATAAAAAATTTCATTTTAAATGAAACTAAAAAAAATTCTTACAAACTTAATATTCAAATAATTTTATCATAAAAAATTTAGAAATAATTTAAAATAATTATTTAAGAAAATTACCTCTCGTGACCTCATTAAATATCTAACAAGTCTCCCTCTAAGTATTGCTAAAGTTTGATTATCAAAGTCTGGTGGATTTGCCCCTGTTACACTATCAACAAGAACTTGCCATCTACTCAATTCATTTTCTAACACTTTTATTTCTCTCTTATTTCTCCTATCTGCTGCAATAAGCTCTGCATCTACTAGCTCATCTTTCTGTTCAATTAATTCTGTATCATTAATCATCTCTTCTGCATCAGAAAAATTAAGAACATGTTCACCTCGTGGTAAACTTTGTACAGTTTGATCAGGAAGTAGATGATACTGTTTCATTAACTGCCAATGAGCTAATAAAGCTTTTGCAGTTCGAGCAGAATAAAACGTATGGGCATTTACTTCAAGAAGTTCTTGAAATACTTCCACTGTTGGTTGAGAAGTCTGTAAAGATAAAATCTTCTTATCTTAATGTCTTAAATATTCAGCCTATAATACTTATGGTTTGATTTAACATACGCAAATAAAAGGTACTTTTTGGTCAAATTTGATTGCATGATGCTTAAGGATTTAGAATAAAATATCTAATTACCGATTTTACTGTACCCAAAAGATCTTCCTCTGCTTTGCTATATAAAGTTCTTGCTTGCACACTAGCAATTAATTCTGGATGTAAATTACGCATAGCTTGAACTGCTACTCTTGAAACTGCATTATCATATAACAAAGCATACCATCTTTGTTGTATTTCTTGCAATGTAAAACGACAAGAAAATTTTGTACCTCTATGAACCTATTTTATATCAATAAATTTTATGTATTATTATTATAACATTATTTTAAAATGTTAATCAAACAATATTTGTTATAATTCTTTAATTTTAATATTATAAAATTAATTAAAAGCAACTAAATCTCTGTATTAAAAGCTTATAACAGAAAAAAATAAATACCATTCTTAAATCATTTGTTTGCTGTACTCCAGTGATTAATGCTAAATCATCGGTTGGTTTCCACCTTCCTAAATCCTTTGTTGCATTTACTGAATGTGAATGATTTTTGTTCTTTTTATTTTTACGTCCAGGAGCATTTGATGCTCCTGGTCTACTTGTTCGTCTGTTACATCTATCAGATTGAGAAACATTTGTAGAAACCTGAATAGGACTTGGTGCATTTTGTTGTGGAACAGCAGATTCTATAGGGATAGTAGAAATTGAGACAGTTCTAGATCTGGAGGCTGATTTTGTACTTGTAGCTGGAGGTTGTAAGTTGAATGTTGTTTCAACAAGCTCATCATCAAATTTTCTACGTTTTATAGTACGTGAAGAGCTACAAATTTAATCAAAATAACATAATTGATAACTGTTATGAATTTATATTTAATTAATTTAATTAATTAAATTAATATTTCAATGGTTACTTTTATTTTTACTTCTTGCATATCACTTTTACTAATATCATTCTTCGTATAAAACAACTATAAATACAAATAACTTTTATTTTATATTTTACTTTATACCTATATCTTGTATACAAAAAGAACTATATGTATTTCAATGGTACTCTATTGCAATACATAATTAGTTGTATTTTGACAAGAAAATGAAATTTTCATACAAAAAAATTGTTTTGTTAAAATCAGCAAATAAATTATAAATTTTTAATAACTAAATCATATATTTACAAGAATTCAAAAATAAATTTATTCTAATCTATTTTTAAAAAATTTTCTTTGCAAGAGAAATATTTTACTAATAGGAATGTGAATAACAACAACAATAATAATAGTAATAATAGTAATAATAATATATATATATGTTTTTGCTCATTAAAATCTGTTTGAAATGAAATTAAATTATTTTATAAACATTATAATAATTTGTTTTATAATTATTACACATTTTCAATAATACAATAGTAACTTATAAAAAATAATATAACTATATATGTTCATAACTATTTGTATTTTATTAGCATATGTATGAAATTACACAACCTTTATATTTAAAAACTAATGATTAAAAAGTTTATTAAACTAAAAATTTTCTTATTAATATATCTGTTTATTTAACTTTTCATATATAGAAAATATGAGTATTAGTATTAGTATATATACTCTAGTATTAAAAACACACTTTCTAAAATTACTATGTTTATAAGGATTTATATTAAAATTGCCTTTATGTGAATATTGCTTTTTATATACTTCAGATGAATGTAGTAACATCTCTCATTTTTCAAATGTTTTCTTAGCCTAATTTATTACATATATGTGTGTAAAACAATATATCATCATAAATGGCTAAGTTCCTATATAATCTCAGTTCAAGTGTAACTAATAAACACAAAACAAAACTGTTATAAGTTTTATATTCTAGAAGTATTCAATCAAAAATTATCATTATTTATATTTTTGATAGAAATAAAGCAATATTATATTATACAATTGCATTGTACAAATAGAAAGCTGAAGCTTTCTTCTTTACATTTAATGGTACATAATATATAAATATAAAATCATTTTCATTTGTAAATACATAAGTAAAAAATAATAAACACCTTCTACGTTTTGTTGACAATGGATCCAAATTTGGCGATTCAATAGATATATTTAAAAATCCATCAGTATTATGAGAAAATCCATGATTTACATTTGAAGGAGTTGGAATATCCATAATTTGATAGGTTATTTTAATGTAAACAATTAATTATTACCACATATAAGTGAATTATGTCATTGCAGGTTGAGTAATGAAACTCTCACAATAATTTAATAAGTACAAGTTATCAACTAATTTCATCAATATTTATTATCCATTTAAATAATTAAAATGTTTTACACTTCACGTATTCTATGTTTCAACAGAAGAAACAATTTGGTAAATACACATACGAATAATGTTACCAACATACACAAAAAATAGAACTATAGAATATAGTAACAATACTTTAATGTGTTTAGTTTTCATAAAGAAAATTGTTATATTATATCTTCATTTTAATACATTTATAGAAGTATAACTTGTCCAATTTTCTATTTAACTGCATCATACAAATATTTGGAAAGGAATCTAAATGAGAAAAAAATATATATATCAAATATTAGTAACTAACATTTTTATTAATTAACTAATATATTTAGTTATTACAAACATTATGTTTAGTCTAACTATATTAATGTAATTCCTGCATATCTTTTTACATTTATAGATACGTAATCGAGATTTGTTATTTATATTAATAACAATAATTTGATATTACTATAACTATCAGTTCTCTTTTTAAATGTAATCTATTGAGAAACAGTGTATTAATAAAAATTAATTTAAAATTGTAAATAAATAATTCAACTTTGAAATAGTTAAAGCAACAATTAATTTTCTATAAAATATAGTAGAAGTTTGTCATCTCAATAGTATTTAATTACTTAAATAAAATAATTATATAATTATTGAAAATATATTAAAATAATTATTAAAATATAATTATACTATAGGGCTAATAAATGAAGTAGTTCACTAATTTAATAATCGTGACTTCTAAGTTATAGTTAAATATTTTGATCTTTAAGATCAAAATGTTACATTGAATTTATTTACTTTTGTAATATAAATTAAATAATTATTTAATATTAATTATAAAATTAATTACAATTTTATTTTTTTATATTTTGTTTGTTCCTTAAATTATTTTTAGAAGTATTTAAAACTATGTATATATTTTAAATGAAGCAGAAACAATTATCTTAAAAAATTAAAATTTAGATATAAATTATATTATTTATAAATTAAATGTTTGTACAATACCAAATAGAACAATAGAATATGATTTTCTCCATATATGTTTGAAATATTTTAGTTGAAATAATTACAAGAACTAAACCAAAAGAAGTTCAATCTCATTATGGAATTGATGAAATACACATTTTTTAAACTGTGTATACTTGTATTAAGGATAAATTACTTAATACGTACTGTATAGTCATATAAATTTTCTTATTAACAAAAATGATATTGAGAAACGTATATACTCATAATATTCATTTAATAATGTTTATTGATATTTTCAATACCGATGGCAGTCTGTTGATAATATTCAGTTACAAATTAATCAACATTATTTTTCATCTACAATATTCTCATAATCAAATTCTCTTTCTGTATATAAATCCTTTTATGTTTCTGTAAATACATACCATAAAATTGTATAAAACTGTTTTTTTTTTAAAAAAAAAAAAAAAAAAGAGAAAAAAAAGAAAACAAAACATTTGGAGATATTTTGGTTTATGCAATCATCTTTAATTAAGTTTTTTTATAAAAAGTAATCAGCCTGGGGTTTTTTACTAGGTATTCCTCGACTTTCTTGTGGTGCAGCTTCAAATATTGTAAAATCTCGTTGTAGATGTTCATTTAATTCTAATATTGCAGCAACATTTCCACATCTATAAAAAAAAAAATATTTTATAAAAAATATTATTCTATAAAAGGACTGAAATATAATTTCTTCATATTTTTGAAATATCTGCATACCTATAGCAGTAATTAGGAGCTGACCAAACAGTCAAAACAGTCTCATTAAAATGCCATTTATATCCTTCCATAACTAATTGATGTGCTCTACAAATCATGTCAATATCATTTGCAGAATTAAACTGTGTTACAACATCACTTCCAAAAAGATAACCAGCACCCCGTGGTGAAACTCCCCAACCTTGAGTATCTTCAGGATCTGACCAAAGTAAATCACACATTGGACCATCATGTGGTACCTATAAAAAGATTGTTGTTTATACTTGTCAAATTATATTTTATATTATAAAATTTTATATAATTTTACAATTTTTTTATTATAAGCATAAATTATTATTACTTCTTGTTTTCTATCTATAGTTCTTATTTGATCAAGCGTTTGAATACTTGGAGATAATCCACCATGAACGCAAAATATTTTTCCATCAATTATAGCAGAAAGTGATAAATAATCAAATATTTCAGTACAATATCGCCAAACTGTAATGCTACCATATTTGCGTAAACATTCATCATAAAAACCATAAACTTGTGTAATTTGTCGAGACTCGTGATTTCCTCTTATTAATGTAATCCTATCAGGATAGCGAACCTGTATGTTAATATGAAAAACTATTATTATAAATGTCACGATTTGTTCATTCAACCCAACTTTCAAAAATTTATAAATGCATTAATAGATATATTAATCTTTTGTACTCTTTTATTTTAAGAATAAAGATTTGGTAGGCATTACTTTTAAGGTATTACAATATATAATTACCTTTAATGCCAAAAGAAGAAGGAATGTTTCAACGCTATAAAACCCTCTATCAACAAAATCTCCCATGAACAAATAATTTGTCTGGGGAACATCTCCACCAACTTTAAATAATTCTTTCAAGTCATAAAACTGTCCATGAATGTCTCCACATACCTGGAAATAAATTCCGCCTTTTATAAATTGTAATTATAGTCATTCTCCCACATCTTATTCTTATAGAAACATACAGTAACTGGAGAATCAACTCTTTGAACATTACTTTCTTCTATAAGAATTTCGCGTGCCTTTGTACAAAGAGCTTTAACTTCAGCTTCTTTTATAATTTCACATTTTTTTAGTTGTTCTATTTGCCGATCCAAATCGCTGGAATCAACCATCTTATGAAATAATGTCCTTCACTGAAAATTATATTAAGTACCTCTTTATTCCTTTCAAAATAAGTTATTTAATAATAAAATTTACTTACATAATTTAATATAATTTATATTTATATATTACAAACAAAACAAATATATATAAAAATAATAAAATTATATGATGTACTTCGCTTAATATATAATTCAAATAACTATATTTTCATCTTAAACCATAAAAAGTTTACAGGATTTATAATTAAAAAATTTTATATAGATGTGAAATAAATACTCAAAAATACTTAAAAATTATTAAATTATGTCATGTATAATTAATGCATTATAAAACACATAATAAACTAAAGTTAATAATGAATTTAATAAATAATGTATTAAAGTATATGATTTATTACTTTATGTTTATAAAATTATTAGAACATATAAAAAAATGGCTATGAAAAATCTTTTTGTCATGTGATCTATAGTTAAAAGAACTATAATTTATATAATTATATAAAACAAGAAATAATACATTACTATTATCAATTTTTTTAATAACTAAGGAGTCAATACTTTAGACTAACAAGAATTGTGTTAAATGTATTGTATCAAATTTGTTTAAAGAGATGGAGATAACATATTCATTTCACAAAAATTTATAAATTTTAAATTTAATTATTTTTTAAATCTGTATAACATTTTTGATTTTATAAATGTAAATTTAAAAAAGAATGTTGATGTCTTATAAAAATGTAATCTAATCGATTGAAATGTTGTTCAAATATTTTTTTACTGTAACGTAATAAACAGCATGTTAATAAAAAAGTACATAATACAAGCATATAAGATAAAGATAAATAATGTGTATAAAAGAAAGGATAAACGTACCTGATCGTATAAAAAATGTGAGGATTCCTTGACTTAATAAATAAAACGCATTTAAACAATACACGTATAATTAAAATCCTTCACGGCTATTTCATAAATGTTAAAACATTAATAAGTGATTATAAACAATCAAAAAGTTTATTTCAAGAAATATCAAACATTACGATGTAACTGACATTACAATCAGAGAAGCCGAAAATAAAAATTCGAGTGTGTTGGCATAGATTAAAGTAAACTGAGAAAAGAAATTTGAACAAATTTGTTGTTTCTATTCTAGATTTTATTCTATAGTGACATAGTTTGTTTAGTCGAATTGACTTTGTTGAGAATTCTCCTTTAGTTTGTATCTAGTAACGCAGAGTACCTTGAAAAACATATTTGAGTTATAATTTCCCTAAATTTAAAATGAGTTCATGCTTCAGTAAAAATTAATATATTTTTCAGAACACAAAATAATATATCAAAGTTATTTTTGTATTAATGTAAAATCGTGATTGAAATATTTTGAGATATGTTTAACAATATAATTAATAAGTGATTAATATCAGAAAAATATAAATTTTATAATTTTAAAAAATAAATATTTGAGGGACATCTTTTTTTAAAGATAGTTTCTTTTACTTTGTGAAGTTAGTTATATTTTGAAAATAAGACGTTTATTTGTCACTATTGTGACATCAAAATTATAGCTTCAAAATTTAATAATTTTTTATATTTAGATTTAAATGACAGTGAACAACCTATATAAACAAATATAAATAAATATATTTACAAATAATAATTTAGATTAATTGTATTATAAACTATTAAATTTAAATAAAATTAATTAGACAAATTATAATGATACTTGTATGCATTATACTGTTCATAGATTACATATTATGAATTTAGAGAGTACTTTAAGAATATTTATTGAAGAATATATACATGTATTAATAACCTGTTATTTTTTAAAATATGCCCTTCTTTTTATATACAAGTGATGACAGTATTTTGTAGTGATCTATGTATCTCTGTTTACTATATGTAGTAGTAACATTTTCAATAATAAGTTAGGAAAGATTTGTAATACCTTCATAAAATACTTATGTCCATAAAATTTATTATTAAATATCTTTTGATTTGTGTAGAGAAAATGGAATAACTGTCTTCAAAATTTTTGTATTCAATGTAATAAACATGTATAACTATAATTTGCACTAAACTTATTTTAATATTCACTATTTTAATATTAAATTTTTTATGTAGGATTATATAACAGAAATAAGAAAAACTAAATTATTCAATTAAATTTTAATTACAAATGCAATGTTACTTTTAAATTGTAACATAGAAATTATATAATTTTCATGTTACATTATACAATATTATTATATATTATATATTACAACATTATGTTATATCTAAAAATAGGAATAATATATTTTAAAAGAAAAGTTTTAATATTATAAGTTTAAAATAGATCATATATTTCATTTAGACTTAGATTTCAAATATGAATTTGAATCATATATTACACAGTTATTTGAACATAGAAGTAATATTTTCAATAATATTTTTAATAATTTACTATATTTGAAGTAAAAGCAATAATATTAATAATACTCTATTTATTACATTTTCTTAAGTTATATAATTTGTTTTATAAAAGGAAAATTTATAAATTTTTAATTATGGCTTCCTATTAAAGAATCAAATTATTTTTGATTTATTCAAATTTTAGATTACAAACAAAATTTAAGAAAACATACAAAATACTATATGAAAGTATCATTTTACAATGATTTTGAAATAAATAAAATTATAATAAAATAAATATAATAATCGAAACCATGAATAAAAATTTGATATTTTTTTAATTAACGTTTAATAAATTCGATTAAAAATTATGTTATTCATTGTCATTAATGTGATGATTATGTTTCATTTTTCAGTTATAACTATGATTTTATGTGTATCTTCACTGTTATACTTATTTAATCATCTAATATTCAATCAGTATTACATAAATACTAAATAAAACTTTTGTTATTTTTTAAATTTAATTTTAATAATAAGAAATTATGACGAAGTAATTTTACCTATTGAAAATTTTAATATAATTGAGTAAAGTAATAATTTTCCGCTTTAAAATACGAGTATAACATTTTAGTTTATAAACTAATCACGTGTGGCGCTAAATTTGTATCTCCTACTATTAGGAGATAGTAGCTCTCACTCTCTTTGTCTCTCTCCCCTCTCACGCCGCGATATCTTACGGTTCTACTCTTCCTCTCAACTTCTCGAAGATTTCCGCGTATCGAGTTAAGTTCAATAGTAATGTGTGCTGTTCAAAACATTCTCTATTTGTATAAATAATTACAGTGTTAAAAATATTAATTATTATATTTGTGTTCTTTTGCGATCTACTTAGAAAATTAAAAAAATTTTTGCATTTTTTCTCTCTATCTATTATCTATTCGTCTCAGTTCATCTTTCTCTTTGGTGAGTACACGAGTGCGAAAATATCAGACAGCGCAACGGAGTTCCAACATCGATGTATCGATACTAAAGACTCTCGGGGGCGAGGTTTTGAGACAATAGTTTCTGAGTGAGGTTACATGGACTCATTGAAATGTCGTGGCTCCTCAAACGACGGACTTACGATTAGCTCAGGTGAGTGGAATTACCATAAAATTAAACTTTGGTAGGTTCTTTAGAACAGGAAAATACATAGTTTTTATTGGTTCGAAAGAGTAGGTTTGTTTGATTGTCGCTGGCCCGATTATTTTAGACGATGACGTGCTGCTTATGTATACTCAACACCTTGTATTCTTACTCTACCCGTGCCGCATTCCTTCGGTGCAACTGTGCGATATTTGAGTTAAACAGGATATTAGCAGTTGCACTTGATATTGTTTTCATCAATATATAAAGATTAAACTAAAAGAATAATTGATTGATAATATTTTTATAGGTACAAGAATATAGAAAATTATATAAACACTATAGAATACATTATTCAAATTATTTTTTATTTTACGTAGTAGTTAAAATTATTATTTTTTAATAAAACAATATATTAATTTATTATTTGTAGTTTCGAAATAAGTAGAGTTTTTAAAAATTATATATTTAATTGTAATTGCTTTGATTATTCGATCTAACTAGCTGAGATCCTTCAAAAATATGAAACTTATATTTTATTTGTATAAAATTAAGTACATGGAAATTGTTTAAGGTACGTTTTCTTCGATAGTTTATTTAAATTATTATTATAATATCGTATTGAATAAAATGTTTAAACAAGTATTTCCTATCAAATTCTACATTGTTTACATCGCGTGTCAATATACATATATAGTACTATAACTCTATTATTGAAAGCCATGATAAGTACTAATTTGTATTAAAGTTTACGTTTACGATTTGTATATTTTTATTTTACAAATTATAACTTTTCGATATTTCTTGTATTGAAACAATTTATAGAAAAAATAATAATTGTTAACTTCATTAATTAATTGCAAATAATTATTACATTTTATATGTACATACTTTGTTTTGAGACGCAAATTATGATTTAAAAATCATTATTATTTAAGTTTATTAAATAATATATTAATTACATATTACTAAACTATTATATTAAATATTTGATTACGTAAAATAGAATAAATTCTTTTTTATCTTTCATTCATTTTGTCATTGCATAAACCTGATAAAAGTATGTTTTTTAATTTTTAATCTTTTGTTTATCAAAATTTTGTTCCGTTTACTTTTTTCCTTTTTTTTATGCATATACAATAAAATTTTTATTTTGTTAAATGTATCTATAATTTCAATTAGTGTAAAAATGTCCCAAAATAATTGAAAGTTTAATCAACAGGCAGTTTCTTTGATTTCTAATGTTTTGTGAAAATAAAGTAAATTATTGATAGTATTTGATATAAATAAAAATGTCTTTATTACATTCAATCAATAGTAAATAAATTGTAATCGTCGATTTCCTCAATTTCTTTTTCAGCTTATAAAATTTTTTTTATGATTTCCAAATTAGTAAATTAAATGTAGTAAATTATGATTTAATAAAATATCTGTTTCATGATTTTTAATTAAATATAGTCTAAATAAATAATTTTACATCTTTTAAATTATATATTTCATTATTATTCCACTAACTCTATCTCAAATTACTTTTTTCTCTTACAACGGAAGTATTTACTTAGTCGTAGAATGAAATTTTACGATTATTTTTGAAGGGAAGGACTACCTACTTATAGTCAATTTATTCTTCCGAATCATAGTATTCATCTTACGGTTCCTACTATATTTTTAACTATATTTTAACTTTTATTATTTTATTGTACTTAATTATTTAATTTTTCAGTTTATAAAATTTAATCATTAACTATATATATATTTTTTAATACATTAAAATTACATATAATTTTATTTAAACAATCGGAAACATACACATATCTATTAATATTTTGAAAAATTTCATCTTTCTTATTCTTCAAATTAAAAATATTTTGTCTGCTTGTTTAAAGAAATTTTTTTTCACAGGAACGTCATTTTTACTAAAAAATTTAGTTGGTCAGGAAGATATTGGGTTTTATTAATTTAATACAATTTACACTTTAGATTTGAACAAATTTGTTAAAATCCTAACAGTGATAATACGAATTGAAATTTATAATTGAATCAATAATAATTGTTACGTATGGTAGTTTTTCTTAATATATATCTATTCGTTCATTTCCTAAGTATTCTTTTCTTTTTAAACTAGAAGGTCTAAAAAAGAAATCAAGATGTAGACAGTTGAATAATTTTTTTTGTAGGAAGCAGGTAGAGAGTTCGTTTCCTAGAAGTAGAGTGGTTCCCTAAGTACAAACCTAATAGCTTCGAATTAGCTTCGCGTTAGGTCGAATATTTTGGGTGGCCGTACATTCCTTTGCTACATTAGAAATTTCTATACGATATTTCCAAGTATCTATGTTAAAGCGGGATGCATAATTTTGTCATTTTTATTTTATTATATACAGTGTAAAAAAACGATTTGCAATTGTTAGTAGGTATAAATTATATTTATTAATTTTTTTTTCTTTTCTTTTTTATTTTAATTTTCTTTTAAACCATAACCCTTGAAATGTTATTATATTGTTATTCCAATGATTGAGTAATAATTTTATAATCTTTTATAAACGGTAGAATAAGTTTCTCGATATAATACATGCAAATGTTAGGTTATTGTAATTTTAATTTAATGATACGATTTGTACGTATTGTATTATATATTTAATCGAAATAATTGTACATTTCATAACAAAAATCTATATAAACATTATCTATATACAGTAAAAATATATTATACATTCATGTATATGTATTCATACTATAGTACTAACAGAATATTAAACATCATATTTACGTTTAGGTTTAACTTTAAAAAATATATAACAATATGTAAACACTCTTTAATCACGTTTTTTACGGTGATTACTATTGACAATAATTTACGGAATGTTATAAAATATATTCCCATTAATATTTTGTTTCAAAAATTATTGTTATTAAATGTTTTAAAACAATGGGATGGAACTTTAGTATTTGTATTTATAGACGCATTTAAGGATTGTTGTATTAATGAAAAAAAGAAATTAAAATTGAAAAATGTGACTTTCCCGTATATTTCGATGTAAAATTATGTTTGCGCCTAAATTAAATACTATACATAATAGATCGGAATATAATAGTATTATAATTATTATATTTATATTAATATTATCTATATCTTTGTAATGAATCTTTAAAATTTGGAAAAGATAAATTTTAGATATTTTGTTAAAGTAAAAGTAATAATGATATTATGTCACTAATGAATTAATGTTTTTACTAGATTTTTTATTTGCAATAATAATAATTTGTATAATACGACTATTTCGTGTAAAACGGCCCTAAGTTAGTAAGCGTGGGATTCTCAAGCAAGCATGCGTTGAAAATTCGCGGTTACATTAATCCAACAATCATTCGGCAGACAGCTTGGCACTAGGCACTAAACCTTTCTGCTTCTATCTCTATCTTTAATAGAGAGCAGGTCTGTCTCAGTGGTTCTCAAATGTATATTTAATTATGTGAAAATATATAAATATTTTACATTTAGTTTAGTAACAATATATGTTTAAACTACTTGTGATTTCAAAATATATTAAAATAATTTTTTAATATATTTATATACTTTTAAATATTTTTTTAAACATTCTTTTTAATTTTTTATTAATTTATACAAAAATGTGATATTTGAAATATTTATTTGTATACTTATTTATATAACAAATTACTTAATTTCCACTTTAAAAAATAATATATAAATTAATTGTTATAAAATTGACATATAATTGTTATAAAATATCTAATTTAATTTCTGTTCACTTTAGTTTCAATATATTACAAAAAACTATTAAAATTTCTTTTATCATTTTTAATAAAGTTATAAACAAAAACAAACAAATAAAATGTATCAATTTCTTTACATACTCATTAATAATTATTTTTTAATTATTTTTCTTAATCTTTTATACTATTATTAAAGTAATAATTTGAAACAATGCATATAATTTAATTGTATTTATTTTATTATCAATTTGTAATTATATATTTTTATAAAAGTATCATTTTAATTTTAGGGAGGCAACATCCGTGAGCAACGACATCACAATGCGTATGTTGCTGCCACTGAGGTTGGTTTTCGTCGCAGCAGGTTTGCTGCTGGCAACTACCAAAGCAAATGTCCACTTGCACCTACATTCTGATACTGCCAAACATTTTGCCATTGGTGAACGTGAACAAGCAATTGCTGGAATTGAAGCTAGCCTTTTGTCTCTCCTTGGTTTTGCTAAAAGGCCAAAACCACAAGGTTTAGCTTATGTTCCAGAATCATTAAAAAAGCTTTATATCAAACAAAATACAATTGGCATGGCTGATATTGCTAAACCAGGAATTCATGCCAGATCTGCTAATACAGTGCGTTCCTTTTCTCATGTTGGTAAGCATATCTATTAAAGTTATTGTATATTAATATTTCCTAAATTAAATAATTATGCATTATTTACAATATAATTGAATAAAATTTAATGCAGGCCACTTAATGTATAAGTTCCTGCAGTTTATAATTGTAAAATATAAATATGCACAGTATATATACATAATATCATTAATTTGAGTAATATATTATTACTAATATATAGTATTATGTATTATTTGTGTTTTAATTTTTTTTGTTTCTTTATTTTTTTTTGACACAGAGAGTGAATTGGATCATAAATTTCGATCTCCAAATCGCTTTCGCCTTTCTTTTGACTTAAGTAGTATACCTTCAGGAGAGAAATTACAAGCTGCAGAATTAAGTCTTTCTCGTGTACCTATTTTAAATCAAGATGATTCCAACCCAAAGCTGGGTAGAATACTTATATATGATATTTTACGTCCTGGTGCAAAAGGACATAGTGCTCCACTATTACGTTTAATTGACAGTAAACCAATAAACACTAGGAAAAATGGCACAGTTAGCCTAGATGTTCATCCTGCTGTGGAAAGATGGATAAAGGATCCTAAAAATAATCATGGACTTTTGGTGCATGTACGTGGAATTAAACAGGAGCATGTACGTTTAAAAAGAAACATAAATGAAAGAAATGATACATGGGTTGTTACTCGCCCAATGTTATTTACTTATACAGATGATGGCAGGTACAAAGTAATTTTTTTCTATTCTATTTTTCCTATTCTATATTCTTTTTAAATAAAGAATAATTTTGATATTACTGAAATTTTTTTTCATTAGAATATTCATTACATAATATATCAAACCGATTTTAGTATAAAATTAATAATGTATTTGAATATCGTATTAAAAATATATCGCATTATTATTATTTAGGTATAAGATGTCTTCCGCAAGTCAAATAATGGATCGACGAGCTAGAAGAGCAGCACTCCGAAAAAATCGTCGGAAAGACGGACGTGAGAATTGTAGGCGACATCCACTTTATGTTGATTTTGCTGATGTTGGTTGGAATGATTGGATTGTCGCTCCACCTGGTTATGATGCTTTTTATTGTCATGGTGATTGTCCATTCCCACTAGCAGATCACTTAAATTCTACCAATCATGCAATTGTCCAAAATTTGGTTTACTCGACAAAACCAAGTATGGTGCCAAAAGCGTGTTGTGTACCTACTGCTCTTAGTTCAATATCCATGCTCTATCTTGATGAAGAAAATAAAGTAGTTTTGAAAAATTATCAGGACATGGCTGTCCTTGGATGCGGGTGTCGTTGACTATTTGCCAATTGGTTCAGTAAACTGTTTTAACAGTGGTGAATGTATGTGCAATAAAAATGAGAATAATTTAAAAGCCATTGAAAAATGAGGGAATGAAGAACTAAAATTGTGTTAGATTGATTGGATAGTAAATAATGCCATATTTGGAGGGTACATTGAGTTTATTAAATTTTTATACAATTAAGGCACATTTTAAGGGTTTCACATTTATTGTATATGGAAATTTCAATCAATTGATTAGTTGTTAGAAATTCAGATAATCCTAACAGCCTAACTCGTCCTCTGTTCTTAAAATAAAAACTGAGAAATTTGTTAAATGTAACAAGATTTTGATCCATCGGTTATTACAGAAAATTTAAATACAAACAATAAAAAAAATTAGCTATAAATACTTCAAGGCCTTCAAAATTGTATGTACATAAAAAATATCAATCAGTTATTCTTGAACATAATAATTATTTTTATTAAACTTATAATATGATTGATTATAAAAAAAATTTGTTTAAATGTTAGGCAATGAAGATTTTGATCCTTGTTTATACTTGTGCCTTATTTTGAAGTATTTTACAGTTGAGAAAGGAGAAAACATTTTCAAAGGAGGATTTAAATCGAGGTAAATACGCGCGCCAAAATTTTAAGTACCCCCCACTTGTTAAGAAAGTTTCTAAAACAATAATTTGTTGTTATTGATTATTAATTAACTTTTCAATTGATTGTTAATTGTTCAAAATAAGGAAATTTTATTTGAACAACCATGCAATCAATTTCCTTTGACGGCAGGAAAATGTATAGATATAACTAAAAATTCTAAATCTATGTTTAATTACCAATTTTTTACAAAATTTGTGATTGAAAACTTTTTTTTATAATTCCTCTATTATTACATTTATGCAATAATTCCATTTAAGAATTAAATATTCCGTCCTTTTAATATTTTTTATAATAAATCTGAAGTAGATTTAATAAAATCATTTCTTTTTAATATTTAAACAAAGGTATTTTTAACCTTTATTAAATATTTTATTATGTAATTAAATAATATAACATGTTTTAAATCAATTACTGAATTATCAGTGGAATATATATTTAAATATTTCTGTACTTTTTTAAATATTTAGTTTTTTTTATAACAAGATATTCTTTTTTTACCAAATATACATATGAGATTCTTGTATCTTACTGGAATTATTTATTAATTAGAGTAAATTATAAATATTACATATAGAATGTTTCTAAATTATTTATACAATTCATTCAATTGTTAATTCAAATGATTTAAATTTTTTCAATTTATTAATATAAGTGGAAAACTATTATGATACATATTCTTTCTTTCAATAAATGCTGAATACATCAAAAATTTGTAAAAACATTTAAAAATACATATAAATTACACTATAATTAAATATTATTTGTAAACTTTGAAAAATTATTAGTTTAGACAGAGTAGAAAATATTTCTTCTTAATCTATTCAAGCTATAATTAATTCTAACTAATTCCCAATTAGTAAATGTCCAAATTTGGACTTTCGCAGTTTAAAAATTTAATTTGAATTTAATTTATCAATTTATTAATATCAGATACAAGTGCCTTAAAACAAAGCCTCTCCTGCCGTCAAAAATGAACCGTACCTGCCTAAGGAACAATTATTTATAATGCTAGCAAAGAAATCTAAGCATATGTATATTTGTATAAAAAGAAAAAAAAAAATGGTATTAAGAATCGTTTATAGTTGTGGCGCGCGTCAGCCTGTAAAATCTGTAAAATAGATAGAAGTAAAAAAGGACTAATGTAAATAGTGCGTCTGTATAGTGAATTAGTATATATAGTATTCTATTCGACGTTTTTATTAATATTTTTACGTTTTTCGATTGTACACAGATATTGCGTGTGTAAATAGTAAATCAATTTTAATAAATATACATGTTAAATTACACTTACGTTTTTGTACTTAAATAGAAAAATAAATAGTAGTTACAAGAAAATAAGATGAAATTAATTGAAAATAAGGCTAACGATTAATAATATATTTCTTTAATTATCGTTAAAATACATAATTTTAGAATTATTTTATTCATAAAATAATAAGTGTCATATAAAATATGTAACAAAAGTTTTATTTCTTTATACATTTATACTACATACATAGGATAATACACTTTTTGTTGTAAATGTAAAAAAAATATAGAAAAATTACTTCAGTCTTTAATGCCAAACTAGAATAATAATTTAATAGAATATACTTCTTCAAGGCTTGTGTAATGGCAATGCGAGGCAAAAATCATTTCCACACGACACATTGTACATTTTATATATACAATAATTTTGAATTTCATTTACTAAATATCCTAAATGTATGGCACAGTCCGATTATAAATTGCAGGAACAGCATTACTTTATGTAATTATTTGAAAACTGTAACTTATTCATTTTCATATTTTGATTAATCATTACATAAAAGTACAAATAAATGCAATAAGTATTTCTCATTCTCATAATAAAAATTAAAAAAATGTTCTTTTCTTTGAATATACATTTTAAATGTTCTTAGATTATTTAATTATCATAGTTCATTACTTATTTTGATTTTATTCTCGTTAGAAATAATTTTCAATTCTTCTACCTATTTTTAATTTGTAATACAGAGTTTGATATGTCTTGGTTGTAAATATGAACCTTATGCAATTAATTTCTTATACACTATAACATATGTGTACTTTTAGATTAGGACAATATTAAATACAAACCTAAAAATAGTATTCATACAAAAAAAGAATACTTTTTCTAAAACAACTTGTATGTCAAAAGCTAAAAATCATATACAACTTTTATACATTCTTACAATATTTACAATATTTTATGATTAAATCACTTACAAGTACATTATAAAGTTAAGAGGCACAATGGTATAAACTTTTTACAGAGATAATTATAATGTAACTTATTTAAATGTATATAATAATTCAAACATATGTTGCAAATGATGTTTTCAAATAGAAGTTAAAGTTTTTGTTAATAAGACACAAATTTCCATCTAAATTATTTTTATATACAAAAAATTAAATCTTTCTTTGATATAAAGAATTCTTTTTCCTTGAAAATTAAAAAAAAAAGAAGATAATTAACATTTAATTCATGAAATTTAATTATGGAATGATAAAATTGTTTTCTTAAATTATTTTACTTGATAATATAAATAAATAAAAATTATTTAACATCTACTTTCTTCAATTTTGAATATTTTGGAAACAATGTTTTTACTTTTTCATTTATAAAATATAAATGTCTTAATAAAATAAATTTTTATCGTTTAAAAAATTGTTAAAAACGTATCAAAAGATGTTATTTTTTAAAAAATAGAATATAAACAATTTTTAATAAATTTAAGGAACAGGTGATGGGGGTGGTGGCAGTGGACTGAAATATGTAGAAGATCGTGAACTAGGAGAAGGGGGACAACTAATTCCTGCATCGCTTTGGTAAACAGATCTTGGTGTTGGGGGTGGAGGATATGGTTCACTTTCATATCGATATCTTGCTGGATAATTACTATCTGACTCATCACAAACATCTGTGCTACAAGGAGTTGGAGGTGGAGGCTGATTTATACTTCTGTAATGTCTATAAGGTTTATACCTAGATGCATTACTGCTTGAACACCTAGTGGAATTGGCAGTTGTTGCTGGACTTGGAGGAGGGTTTAATGTTTCTTGTGGATAACCTCCTGTAGAACTCCCTCGAGTTGAACTCGATGCTCCTTAAATTAAAGTTTTTATTAACATTAACATTATTAACGATCTATAAATATATAGATATTTTATTTCATTTTTATTAATAATTTATTACATAACACGTATATAAATTACACATATATCTTAACAAATTCGTACTAAAAACTTTTCTATGAAATTTTCTTTTGACCTAAGTATACTTTTTATTTTTTATATAAGTGTATGATTAAAATTCTCAGGAAATATGTAAATATAAAAAATGTTCTGAAGCGTACATTTTATCTTTCTGAAACATATTGTTACAGTAGAGATAAACATATGCATGAATGTACATTTCTGGAAAGATAACTAGTGTAAAAATGTAATGACTAGATAATATAGACTAATAAACTTCAAAAAACATTATAATCATAAAAATAATGCAAACGAAGGACTGACAATATGTGACAAGATATACAAATAAATTTTGTTATTTTCAGTTCTTTATAAAAAGTGTAGCATAAATGTTGTATTAAATGTATAATTTATAATAAATATAAATTGTACAAATGTCGCAATTTTTTCTAATAAATTTAATTCAGTAATGAAAATCTGTTTTTCTCTGTGTAATATTATTAGCCAATTTTTACCAGAAATTGTAAGTTTCAAAGTGATCATAATAAGCAGATTCCATTATACATATGTATCATTACAAAAAATTATTGATTTATTAGTAATATTTTCCGACAACGTAAGCATCAGAACATTATTGGTATTAACTAATGATTTAATTAATTTGTAAGTTAATATCTTACCAGTGATATGACTGCGATCGTAACTTGATCCTATGCTACTTCCATTTAACATTGACATTCTTACAGTCTCCATTCCAATTTTCAAATTTTTTCTACAATTTTTTTGAGCAAACATCGGTTTTGCTAATCTTGCTGGTTTTGGTGATAATGGATCTCCAGCTGAGTCGTGTAAAATATCAGGTAATTCTTCATTATTTATGAATTTTCTTCTACAATAATAAAATCCGAAGACAATGGCAGCAATTGTTGCAATTAATCCAACAGGTACGATAATAACGTAAGTGATTTTTCCAGATTCTAGCGAATTATTTTCTTGCCGAGGATTATTTGCAGGTGTACATGCAGATGCAAGCTCGTCACTTCCATCAGCACAATCTTCCCAACCATCACAGACGGCTGAGCCAGAAATACAAACACCATTTCCAATACATTGAAATTGTCCTGGTCGACAACAATGAGCTTCATCTAGACCATCGTGACATTGGGCTGTTCCATCACATACCCAGGACATATCTACAAAATTTAATGTTTCATAATTTCACTATTTTTAATTCGTAACTGTTGATATTTGATATTTGATATTTTTACCAATGCAATGACCACTTTGACATTTAAATTGATCGCGATTACAGGCTGGACAACCTAATTCATCACTTCCATCAGGACAATCAGTTTGACCATCGCATTTCCATGTCGCAGGTATACAATCTTTTGTTATTGCAGAACTAGGTGCAGCACAAGTAAAATGATCA